AGGTTCCCCATCAATCCACTCCTAATCCTTAAATGAAGTTGTGGTGTTATCCATATTAGTTTTATTGTGCTTGCAAATTCTGTTGCATTGGAATAACACTAGGATAAAGCCTATTCTATTTTTTTTTCATCACTGTATGTGGAGAGTCTGCTTTTGGTAAAATAAGTGAAGAAAACCTACAGAGCTGTTGAGAGGGTGAATTGATTCATAGAGCTCTCAAATAACAGAAGACAGTACAACTAATAAGAGCACTTTCAAAGCTGTAGCAGGAGAAACCAGAGTTCAAATTCAAAGTGGGCTTTGTAATAACAACTTGACAATAAATACATAAGCACTGCATACATAAAAGTGATGCCTACATGCACTGAAAAACTTCAAAGACATGGTCCAAATCTGGAGAGGAGCAAGAGAGTTGTCATCTCAAATATACTTCATGGAACATATGAATTTTTACCTTTGTACTAAATATCAGGGTAATAAACAGCATAGATATAAGTGTTTTGCTTGCTTTTTTGTAGAAAGGGGTAATTTTTGTACTTTCAATTAGTATATGGTAACAGTAAGTAAAAAATTAGGTTTTTAAATAAATCAAGATGATACTATTCTGTGGTTGTTCAGTAATGGATTGTTTAAATAATAGTAAATTCTATGTGTAATCATTTTAGAAACCATGAAACTCTTACACAATAAACCTCTCTAAAATGACCTTCCATAAAGGAAAAGGATGAAACATTGAATCAAACTTCAAGGAGTTCATTTCAATGAAGGACAGAGATGATAATGTACAGGCAGACACTTTGATTTCCAATCATTTTACTTCATTCAGTGGTAGAACCTGGAAATACTAGATAGGCAGCTAAAATGCCCATTAACCTGTCACAATCAAATATCAGATGTCTTAAATGAATCTTCAGGCAGTGTTGAATCAAAGCCAAGCTATAAATGAATTTTCTTTTAGATTTGTGTAATGCCTTTTTATAGTACAAAGAGAGAGATGTCCTTTTGAATGTCAGATATAAGAAGGAATGACTTTGATCTTCTAATAAAATGTCCATAGTGAAATTTACAAAGACTTAGTTAAATCCAAAACTGATTTGATTTTCAAGGAATCACATATTTTTAAAGCTTTTTCCTTAAAAAGTGCATGTTATAGTTTTATAATGATATTGAATCTCATCATTTTTACTATGGATTGATGTTTACTTAGCATATAGTCATCGGATTTCCCAGGTAAAATTTCATTATGGGACATTAAAAAGAGACTGTGTTTATCTATTAGGAACAATTAAAAAATATAAACTCACTTTTAAGTAATGTTAACAAACAATACTTTTTAAAATAGATACTTATCACTGACTTTTCAAAGAAAATATTTATTGTGTCTATGTACCATGGGCATGAAATGCTTGTGGAGGTCACAGTGAGGTCTGAATTCCCTGGGACTGCAGTTACAAAGAGTTGCCAGTATCTGTGAGTGTAACTTGAATGTGGCTTACCTGGAAGAGCAATCAGTGAAGTCTCTATCTGATTGCATATCTTTGACATTATTAACAACATAATTGGTTATTTCATTTTAATAAAGCCCAATACAAGTTCATAATCAATAATAAATCACATCATAAATATTACACTATTTAGCCACTTTTAAATTAATAATTTTGACTTACAAAATATTTGATGTTATTCTGTTTTAGATACTATTTTATGTTTTTATGGTATATGTACAAGAAAAATACTGAAATGTTCTCACATTTATTCATTTGTAGTTTTACTGTGTTCTATAGTGTCTGTAATTTGTAAAATAATTTAGTAGAAACATTGGTCTTGCCAGGCGGCGGTGACGCACGCCATTAATCCCACCACTTGGGAGGCAGAGGCAGGCAAATCTTTGTGAGTTTGAGGCCAGCCTGGTCTACAAGAGCTAGTTCCAGGATAGGCTCCAGAGCCACAGAGAAACCCTGTCTCGAAAACCAAAACAAACAAACAAACAAACAAAAAAGTCCCAAGCAAAATGTAGACGTCAAAGATACTGTACTCATTTTTCAGGCAAGCATGATTATTTTGAACAGTTAATAAAATCTATTGAATAAATAAAAAGATAGGAGAATCTGGAAGTGTAAATACAGATGCTGGAAGAAATAAATGTGAAATAGTTTTAGACAAGAATGTGAGAAAAAGCACAGGATATTCAGGACAGTAAAAGTAATTTGAAATAATTCAAGTTGATGGTATTCAAATTGTAAAATGTGCTTGGACAGAAAGGTGATAACATACAGAGGTCCTTAACTGTCAAGCTGAAGGATTGGAGTTTACTCAGGAAGTCATGATATTTGCAGTTACACAGCCAAGGTGAGATGAAATATTCATGGAGTTATTATGAAAATAAGAAAAGCTGATAAAAATATTCCTAGCATCACAAGAAATGCTTTCTGCATTTGATATGGTTTCAGAGAGAAAAAAAAAACATAAGAAATGTATCCATGAATTTTGCAGACTTTCAAAGTTGTTCTGCATAGTGTTAAAACAAAAATGTGCCTGTTCCTTCTTAAATCAAGAGAAACATCTATTTCTTTCAAGGAGGTACAAGTAGAGACAAGACAACTGGAGCACAGAGCTGATTGATTGATTGAAACAAAGTTACTGGGAAAGAAAGATAATAGCTGAGGATGATGACAGGTTTAGGTGTTCTACATTTAGAAAATTCTATTGTAAGGTAGCATGCTTGTTTGTTTCCCAGCTGCTGAGCAACCCAGACCCGAAATAATCACAGAGAAATTATATTATTTAAAACATTGCTTAGCCCATTAGCTCTAGCTTCTCATGGGATAACACTTTTATCTACCCATTTCTGATCATTTGTGTATCACCACATGGCTGTGGCTTAACGGGTAAAGTTTCCAGCATTTGTGTCGGGTGGGACTCCATTCCTTGATGTAGGAGGATCATCTGTCTATGTACTACTTTCATTGGTTAATAAAGAGACTGCCTTGGCCTTTCTGATAGGCCAGCCTTTAGGTGGGTGGAGTTGAGAGAACATGATGCTGAAAAGAAGGCAATATGCAAATGCTATGGCTCTCCTCTCTGAGATGGAGGTGGGTTAAAAATCTTCCCAGTAAGACACAACCTCATGGTAATATACAATTTATTAGAAATGGGTTAATTAATATGTGAGAGTTCGCTAATAAGGGGCTAAAGACAATGGTCCAAACAGTGTTTAAATGAATACGGTTTCCTTTTGGGGGTAAGTTAGTCAGGATCCAGGCGGGAACGCAGCCTGCTCCTTCCTTTTATAGAGTGGTGCCCAACTACTACAATTACTTCTCTCTAATGCTTCCTTCTTTCTCCCAACATTCAGTTTATTTTTTTTCACCTACTTCTATTCCTTGGGCAGGCCCAAGACAGTTTCTTTATTAACCAATGGTATTCAAAGCATGCAGAGGGGAATCCTACATTACAAGTCATTAAGAATTAAATTTCAAAACCCTACCTAAGGCCAAGCATACTTTACAGTTCATGACAAATATTTTTGTCACAAAAAGAAAAACAGATTTTATTGAGTTGTCTGAAAAAAAGATAATGCCAGACTCGTGTAACTGTAGGCTACTGGGAATATTGTTGTAATTCCATTAGGAAGAGAGGCAGGGATATCACAAATTTGTAGGAAGTCTGGGGTAGGTAGAGGTTTTTAATTGCAAAACAAAGAGTCTAGGCATAATTATGCTGATTTGGGATTTACATCAAATGACTACGCTTTTGAAGTAGAGAGTGAATAGAGATAATGGTCAGGTTAAATAGTCTGGGAATATTGCTCCAAAGTCAGGGATCAACATGGATAGTCTAAATTGTAGCAAAGAGAGAAAAAAAGGAAAAAACTGAACAAATTTATGAATCATGAAAACCAAGAGAAATAAGTACTTATTGAAGGAAGGCTAGTTCTGCTGAATAAGAAATGACTTTTTGGTTTTCTCATTCTTCTTAAATTGTATGGATTCTTGCATTTTGTTATTCTTATCTTTAGTTTTAAAATTTGGTGAATGTCATATTTTTTAAAGTACACGTTACTATTATTTGTGAGTCATAAAGTATATTTTAGGTTTAGAAGTCATTATTAAAGTTGTTTGACAAGATTGCTTTTTTGATAGCCAATTGTAAGTAACCTGCCAGTATCTGGTTATACAACAAAAAAATGGTTCTTATTTTGCCCCACAAACAGTTTAATGTTTGGGAAAAGCATCTTTTTATACGAGGTAAATTTTGATTATCCTAAAATTATGATAAAATTTCAGAAAAGTATAGACATTTATTTTGAGTCCCATCACATAAGAAATCACAAACAAAGTGAAGAAAGCTGCAAGCACAGGATTGCACAGGTCTATACCAGATCTTTTGTGTATGTTAGAGCTTTCAGTATAGTGGGTTTTTTTTTTGGGGGGGGGGACTCCTTAGTGTGTGAATGAGTGGATTCCTGATTCTGGTGGCCTCTCTTGGGTTCTTTTCTTTCTGTTGATTTGCTTCAGTGGTATTTATTTTATTTCTTTGTTTGTTTTAGATGATTTTATGCTAGTTTTCTGTTTTTATTATTATCTTTTAGAGTTCTGTTCTCCTCTAATAAAAGCCATAAAAAATGAAGATCCAGAAGTGAAGGGATATAGAAGGAAATTGGGAGGAGCTGAGGGACAGAAATCTGAAACAGGATATATTGCATGGGAAAAGAAACTATTTTCAGTTAAAGGAGAAAATGTTTAAAAAGAACAGCAAAAAGATAATTTAAAAACATTTGTGAAAGGGTACCCTTCATATCAGTGTCTTGTTTACAGTTGATCATATAAAATGAGAAGCTGAATACCTTAAAGTAGCAAATACAGGACTCATACTCTTTTATTTTTAAACGTGTTGGCATGGTTTATTGATATCTGACATGATAAATATGAAGAATTTATGCATCATTTTTCATCAACACTGGCAAAATCTTGCTTTCTTTTCTGAATCTTTGTGAACAGAGCCCAGATGGCCGAATCGAAGTGAAAGGGCAGCGGGGGCATTCGTCACTGCACATCAGAGATGTGAAATTATCGGACTCAGGGAGATATGATTGTGAGGCTGCAAGTAGGATCGGTGGGCACCAGAGAAGCATGCACCTTGACATTGAATGTAAGTCATATTTAGTGTGTATTGTAATTACAACAACCTTAGCTGATTTGAGTAAATGTGATTCTTATATGAAAATTAAAATGAATAATTATTACATTTTTTCAATATTATTATTCAGGCAGCTATTAGAAAAAACTAGTGGAAGTCTCTGTACATTTCACAATGATTTACATTTAATAGTGACAATAATCCCTTGAAATATTTAACGGAAAATACCAGATCAACTGAGCCATACTTGTTTTTGATAACCAAGTCCTTAGACCATTTATTTGTTTGTGTATGCAAGCACATGCGTGCATGTACATGAGTGTTGTGTGTGTGTTTAAAGGTCAAAGTCTTAGATATGTAGATGTGTTTTCAATTCTTCCCTATTTTGTTTAATTATTTGGTATTCACATAAGATACAAAATGCAGTGATGCATGACAATTCTTATACTTCATCAAAAATGTGTTTACTGTCAGTAAATCATGATTGTTAAAAGTATAATTTATAAAAGAAGTTGTCAATAGTTTTCATGACTAGGTGAGTTCAAAACTATGTCTAATTCTATAACTACAATTTAAATTTATTTACATGTAAATATAAATTGAGCTTCTCCCTTAGTTTATTACATGGAATTTAAAATAATTTTAATTTAATTTAATTTCTATAAATGATTTTAAAGAGGAGGAAGTATAAGGTAATTCTCAACAACTACATCAGGATGCTACCTATTACCTTAAGAACACTAATTGTCTTATTGGAGTTTTTTGAAATATTCTTGTGTACATAACATTTTACCATGGTATTTTCTCTTCATTAATATCAATAGACAGTAATGTTAACTGTTAATCATGATACTACTCATGTTTAGAATTTCTTTAAAAAGTAATAAAGTTCAATATGAGTAAATTCTATCATTACATAGTTACCAACTGTGCTAATAACAATTGCAAGAAAGCTATTTCATGGGCATCACATGTATCTTAACAAACAATTACCCCACAAAAGCTTTGAATGACTACTAATGCATAAGCTTCAGTTTTGTGTCTTCATCAGAGACATATCTGTTCCGGCCATTGGTCCATTTCTAAATCAGGTTGTTTCATTGTCTGTCAACTTGAGTTCACTATGTATTTTGGCTCTTCCTTTTTATAATGCATGGATTTCACATATTTTCTCTTTCTGTGGCTTTTGCCTAGCTTATCTTTCAGTCACTGTGCACTCTCATCTATATGTATATCAATATAGTACATAATTATTGTTGTCATCGTACAGATAGAATTTATATAGCTACAATTATTTATTATAATTATTTTTTGAAGTTAGATATTAAAAGATGAACATGTATATGCATATTTTATCTACCATACATATTTAATTTTTTTCCATAGTCAAATCGTAATCTATGAAATATATAATGCTGAAGTTTTATGCATTGCAGCTTGCTTTGTACTTGATCTTCCTATGAATCTTTACATGTATGACTCCTTCGGAAGCTTTGGAAATTTAATTTTATGTTAGATTCTATGATTCATTTCCAGTGCACTTTGAGAAATATTTTCTTCATTTTTCACTGCATGAGTCTATTGGCAAACTATTATTTGTTTAAATGTTTTCTCTTCTGGAAGATTTACCAAGATTGATGATAAACTTTTTAAATTTCCAAATTTTAGTGTTTTTTTAACTGCTATTATGTATTATGTATCTGTGTTGTATTTTGAAAGTTTTTATCTTATCTTCATTATTCCCCCAATTTTAACGTTGTAGATTCTCTTTACTCTTTGTATAAAGTTCTTAAATGTGACATCTTGGTAAGTTATTTAACATATTTCATAGTTTCAAAAGCAGACATATAACAATCACCATTTCTTACAATGTTTTAATCACATTCCAAACTTTGAGATTTGTTGCATTTTTAAATATGCCAAATACTATTTTCATTCACTAATATTTGAAACTTGTTAAGAAGTACATTGCAGTGATATTCATTTATAACATTATACAAACACCAGAATGTGTATCTTAACCAGTTACAAATACTTTGAAGAACTGCAGGGAAAAGCTATACCATGCTTTTGCTCTACCTTGGTCTTTGATGTTCTAAATTTATTCACTGTTGATTCAATTTGTCTCCATTTCTATTGTGTTGTGTTTATGCTGTTGTGTAGTTTATATATATATATATATTTTTTTCTGCCTCCCTCTGTAGTTCAAGGTGAACAAAAATTCATGGCAATGCTCATGCAACAGCCTGCAGAGGGCTAGGATTACAAGGGTGTACAGTCCTGCTGGGCTTTCCTTTCACATTAAGTGTGTACAATATCGATAACCAGAAAAATCAATTCCATAGCTATCATTATTCCTGAGTAAAATTTTTGGTTTTGGTGAAAATTTTCTGTTGTTCTTTCTCAAACAAAATGGTTTCTCTATCTTCTAACCTATGTTTCTAAAGAGAAATCTCTATCTATTTTACTTTATTTTCATGGAAAAGCATAACATTTTTTTAATTTAGGGGTATGTATTATTTTTGTTATTGCCAATTTCATTAGAATGTGTATGGACATGAGTTTCTTTAATTGCTCTATTTGTAATGTACTGAGATTCCTCAACCTATGAAATCACAGTTGTCAACATGCTTGAATAGTTTGGGGTCAATTGTGGACATAATTCATCTACCCAAAATAGTTTTCTTCTGTGAATATTCATACATGCTTATGCACACACTCGTGTGTGTATGAAACCATTTAAAATTATCTATTAGATGCACGAGACACATTTGAAACTTTTATATTAAATATCTAGAGATTAATTTATTTAAGTGGTTTTACTTTAATTAAACTCACAATCTAGTATTCTACTCTGTGTTATGGAGACCATGTAATGACTTTTTTGTTCTGTTGCAGATATTATTTAATTTTTATTTTCAAATTTTATCTTATTCTCTTATATTACATCAGTTTTTTTCTGAATTTCTTTTTGTTCATTCATTTTTTTTTAAAGAAACTATTTGAAAGTTTATTTGACATTAGCCTTTCTTGTTGGGTTGCACATTAGTTCCTCAAAGGCAGACAGGTTTTTAGTGATAGCAGCAATCAGCAGGATCCAGCTCAATGTCCACAGAAACCAGTGAGGACAAATTCTTCAAGTGTGTTTCATTCAAATCCATCCCCGTGTAACAGTGTTCTTGCTTGCAGTTCTCATTTCCCACAGCTTCTCCTACTATGAACTTGCAAATATTGGGAGTCCAATGGCCTTTGAAACCATGAGACATCCATTTTGTTCCAAACCATTGGTAATGGTCTCCTGTAAGGGTGTAATAGTTAAGCTCACAGCCTTCAGTGTTACAGCTGTCTGGCTCATGAGAAGTAACATTCAGAATTTTCTAAGTGTAGTTGCAAAATGCCATATCCCAGAGCTGAGACTGTGCAGCTCATTTTGAAAGAATGAGATGTGGGTGAGGAAAGGATGATCAAACAGTGACCACAAACCTTAACTTGGTGGCATGGTGTGGAATCCACACCATGAAGCTGGCCACTGTGCACTAAGGATCAGTACATCATTCACCAGTGCATAGAAAGCAGAACACAAACATGAACAGTTCCTATGTAACAGTCACATGTATTAAAAAAAGAAAACAACAACAACAAACACCAACTGTAACTCCCTCCGCCTTTCATATCCCATATTCAATGTCCAGACTCTTCTTCAAGGGTTCAACTGTCTCCCCAGCCAATGATCTCTATTAGACTCTAAAGAACCTATTTAATGGTTGGTAGCCAGACTCCACGCCACCAACAGAAAACAACGCCAGAGAGACAACTGAACCTGTCTCTGACAGTGTGGGCTCAGAATAGAAGTGACTTCTCACCTGCAACACTGTGGAGGTAGAAAGCCCAGGGTAACTAGTCACAGTATAACAAGGGACAGGCAACACCTTTCTGGATAACAAGCCAATAACGAGGACCCTTCAAGTCAAGTCCTGTTATTCTCAAAGGGCTATATGTACAAGGAGAGAAGGGAGAGCCTGACCAGGTGTACCCCCACTTTATCTCATTAAATCACAAGATCAAACTGTTCAGCAGCTTCAAACTCAGCATTCATGTTCACAGCCTACTCATCGGCTCAGATTTCAGATCTGTGGCACCTTCTTTCGTTTCTCTTTCACAACTGGAGGAAATATACCAGGAAGTGTTGTATCTGGAAGCCAGACATTATAGGTAGTTTTGAGACTTTAATAAACTTTCAACACACAACAGGTGAGACTCCAGGCAAATGGTCAGGTCCCTCAACGCCAAAGAAGGATCGTCGAACAGGAGTGGAGGTTGAGCTAAAACTGGGACATTTCTAGGTCTCTGGTGTCCAGCTCTCCCTCCCCGGAGTTACACTCGATGTTCTGTGTGTACCACACTGGGGTGCTGGTGTGGGTACAAAGGACACTACAAGTGTTGAAGATGTCCTTCTTAGTAGGAACCTTGAGAGAAGGAAGGCTTATTCTTTTTCCAAGAAAAAAAGAGATTCAAGAACTCCTTCGATGTGTATGGATATCTGGGATCTCTCCTGAATGAAGCCACGATCTTCTTCAAGATGATGGACTTTCTAATTGGTGCCACGTGAGATGTCTGGCCAAATTTCAGGAAAGATCTGTGGAAGATCTGAGCCAGATTTCTCCTGGGACCTCTTTGACCGCTGGGCGTCCCCTCTGAACCGTGTTCGCCGCTCTTATGATCCAGCTCAGTCTCTGCCGCGGTTGCCAACTTATGCTTGTGCCAACCGGGTTGTTCATTCATTCTAAGTAGTGTTTTTTTTTTTCATCTTTTTACACCTCATGCCACACAGGTTAAGATTGTCTAGAATATCAGCTCTAAATAAACAAACAGCAATTTATTAAACATCTGGATTGTTTTCTGGTTCACAGCTGTTGATTTTCTTTTCCCTTTGGGATTGACTGTCCTATTCTGGTTCACTGAATGTAAAAAAGAGTTTAACTGTTTCATGGATACTGTAAATATTATGCTGT